AAGATCGGGGCCCCCCCCCCCCCCGTGGATCATGCTCGCATTGTGGTCATTTGCCATAGAAGCCCTTAACGCTGACCCATCGTACTCACCCAAAGAACGGGTACAGGGGCCTCAAGAATATATGTAGTTACGAATATAAGTACATGTACATACACGTACAAACACACATGTGTGCATGTGTATATATATATATACACACTATGTATCATACATGTATATGGTCTATCAACATACAGTTAGACAGGGTAGAGCCCTATATGGGGCATGTTGCAGCGGACACAGTTTTGGACTAAACTACAGGATTGAAACCTGGTATCCCAAGAACTGGACCCTCCGTGTAAGGAACAGAATGAGGACCCAGCAGCATCGGCAATCGGTCACTTCAAGCACCCTATCCTATCAAATTAGGCTGCGGGCTGCAACATTGCAACCGGAAGCCCTAGACGCGACCCAGAAATCTCAAGCCGTTTGCTCGCAGATCATGAGCTGCCAAACCCTAGACCCTAAAGTCTAAGCCTCCAAAGAACAAGTGCCCTAGACCACTGCATAGGAAGCCAGACCCTGCATGCCTGCATCCGAGGCGTAGGGTTTAGGGTTTATGGTTTAGGGCATGAATGTGTATACTTTACACTTTTGCTTGTATAGTAGAGCAACTAAGCAGCGGAAAAGAGGGAGGACATGAGAGGGAGCTCAAATCAAGAGCAATACAGAAGCACTATTTAAGCAAATCGCACCATGACCCACACATAGGATTTCTCCACACCACGGCTGCGCCACTTCAGCCCACAGAACCTCTCGAACTTGGCCCCTCGGTGCTTGACCCTGCCCTGAACATGGGTAGTTCTCTAAATTAGGATCCCTTTTCAGGGTCCTTTTTTATGAGGGTTTAGAGTTTAGGGCCACATTGTTTTGGAGACCTGAAAAGGGACCAATTTAGAGAGCTACCCATGTGGGTGCCACAAGGATGTTGCGGTTCTGTAAAGGCATTGGCGTTGCTTTATGTGAGAAGATTGAGTGCTCAGCCTTGGTTGGGGCTGGTCAAGAAGGTTACTCAGGGGTTTAGGATTTGGGCGTAGGGTCTTCGGAGGTTTAGACAGGGACTTCGAACTTCGATTGTGTGGCTTATCTCGCGCTGAGGGTTTGCAATTTCAGGTGTGGCTCTAAGATTTAGGACCGAGAGTTTGAGGTTTTCGGGATCAGTGTACCGATGCATTTGCCGATATGTGCTTAGGGCTTAGGCTGATGTCTCTGATTCGTTCAGTATGCCATCATGTCCTGCAAGAGAGATGCTCATCTCCAAAGCCTCGGAGACCGACACTGGGTCGCTAGGTCCCCACTGGAGCCTTTTGTGCCCTTTTCATGTTGGTGTATCCTTATTGTTATTCGAACCGGGCAATGGGACACAGGGTGTGGATTTACTGAGAATCTCACCATGTCGACCTCAGAAACGGAATCTAGGCTACAGTTAGGGTTCGAGTGGGTTCAGGGTTTAGTTTATGGTTCAGGGCTTTCAACGGCTTAGGGCTTATTCAGAGGCCCCGAAGTGAAAAGACAGCCTTCAGGAACGCCCGAATCATGCCTCAGGTCTGGTCCTACAGCAACATGCGCCTGAGGCAGGACGGAACACAGGATTTTCAAGCCTTTGCTTGTTGGAACCCGATCCAAATTATTTGCCCCAAGTCATGTGCCTCAAATCCTGCCCGGTAGTATCTACCCCAGAGGACGCAGCAAGGTCCCCTTAAACCCGATGCCCTAAAACCTATGGGAACCCTGGGCCCTGAGCCCTCTTAAATCACCGAGAGAAAGAGCCCACCAAACAGAAAAGGCTTCCGAAACCCTGGGCCCCCATGCCCCTAACCCCTGGGCCCCAAGCTAACCCCTAAACCCCAAACCCAAGCCCCTAAACCCTAAACCTTAAACCCTAAACCCTCAACCCCTAAACCCTAAACCACTAAACCCTAAACCCAAGCCCCTAAATCCTAAACCTTAAACCCTAAACCCTCAACCCCTAAACCCTCAACCCCTAAACCCTAAACCCAAGCCCCTACACCCTAAGCCCTAAACCCTAAACCCGTTTGTTTCGAGCCGCTCCCTACCCGGAGTGGTTCTTCTGCAGAAGCCAGGCACGAGGGCCTTTTCCAGGCTGTGGCCAAGGAAACTTGCGCCCCGGCGTTTAGGGTTTAGGGTTTAGGGGTTTAGGGTTTAGGGTTTAGGGTTTAGGGGTTTAGGGTTTAGGGTTTATAGGGTTTAGGGGTTGAGGATTTAGGGTTTAGGGTTGACGGTGGTAGTAGTAGTCGCCGTCGTCGTAGTCGTAGTAATAGCCGTAGCAAGTGGCAGTAGCAGTAGTAACTACCGTCGTTATTGTGTTTATAGGCTTGTTTTTTACTGTCATCTAAGTTCTTGTTGCTCTCGGTGCCAATATCCAGGGCTTGTGGGTCATGAGTAGATACTTCGAATCCCACCTGCATCAACGCACGTTCCGTCGAGCGTGGCAAGGCAGAGAGGAAACTTGATGGTGTGCCTAGCATGTTATGCCCTCGACTCCTTAACCTCGGACCCTAAGCTCTAGCCCGAAAGCCTATCAGCCATGATGCTGGTGAAGCCGATGCAGCTATGCAGCCTAAATCACGCGGCTGTAGGTTGAAAGACCCTAAACCAAAACCCCAAACCCTAAACCCTAAACCCTATGGGAAGTCACTATCCACATTCTACCGGAGAACTTTTGGCCTCCAGGTGGGGTTGCGGGCAGCTTCAGGATCCTCTCGAGATAGGGAGATAATTTTTCGGGTGGCCCCGTAAGCCCTAATGTAGGTAGCGGGCCTTAATAATTAGTATAGGGTTTGGGGGTATATAATGATACTGTAATTATAATAAGGACCCCCCCCCCCTTCCAAAAAAAAACAAAAATCTTATTAAGATAAGGCACCTACACTAAGCCAAAACCCTGAATCCCTGAACTGCAGGTGCCCGCATTGATGAGTTCGACCCGAAGGCTGGCATCTGCTGGTTCCTAGGACACGGCTGACAGCCGAGTCTGAATAATAACCAGTAGGGGCTTTGGGTTTAGTTTTTAGGGTTTAGGGTTTAGGGTTTAGGGTTTAGGGAAGATCAATTATAACAACAATATCGACGTTACTAACAACAGAAGGCAAAGGAAGAGGAACTCAAGAAAGGGTAATGTTCCTATCAACGGTGTTTGTTGAAGCCTACGCTGCGCCGAAGCGCAGTGTCAATGTATCAGAACGACAAGTGTAAGTGCAACAGCAGCATGGATGATAGATCAGCTGTTTATCTAGTATGCAGGATGGTCTGATGATTTCAATAGTTGGAACGACCTGATACTCTATGGTAGCTTGCTCGTGGTGCTACATTGATGATTGCGTGAAATACGAGAGTCGTGACAACTGTGTTGGTGATAGTAGCAACAGCACCAACAAAACCATTATTGGGAATAACATTCCGGAATAATACAAACAACATGATCGAAACTATGATGCGAGTGACAAACAGAGAATCCAATAGCCTAGCGCTCCGAAAAACCATGGACCTCACACTATGACTATAACCCTAAGTTCTACACCCGAAACCTTAAAGGCTAAGTTCCAAGCCGTAAACCCGAAGCCCTAAACCCTAAAACCCTAAAACCCTAAACCCTAAACCCCAAACCCCTAAAACCTAAAACCCCTAAAACCCCCTGGAGCTAGGCCCTGGCAATGCTGACATCGTCTTTTGCGTCCATGCGGGTGAGGCATGAAGTTCTCTTCGAGGCCAGGCAGTATAAAATTTGGTTCCAGGGCTTTAAACGGGTTTAGGAACAACCCTAAACCCCTAATCCCCTCAACCCTAAACCCCAAGGTTCTATAAGGATTTCTGCAGGTACGAAGTGGCGGCCAGGCATTGTAGGATGTTCAGGGCTTAGGATGAAGGGTTCTACAAGGGTTTCTTCTGGTCGTCTACAGGCGCCATAGGGTTCCTCAAGAAGTTCTCGTCTTTGTGACCACGCAAGGGATGCTCTTCCTTTAAGGGTACCTTATTCTGAGTTTACTAGGCTTTGGGGTTTAGGGTTTAGGGTTTGGGCCCTCTAGAAGGTTCCAGAAGCATCTCAAGAAACATCTGAAGCCCCATAGGAGGTTGTTGAGGGTTTAGGGTTTAGGGTTTAGGGTTTAGGGTTTAGGGTTTAGGGTTTAGGGTTTAGGGTTTCAACTCGGGTCATCTTGAAAGGCAGTTCGGTGCGCTGCGGAAACGCGCCTTGACAGCTTTCAGGCGCGTCCGGGGTTCACCACAGGCACCACCCTGAACCGCATTCCAAGCCCGACCCCTAAACCCTACCTGGACCCTAAGAACCTGCCTTTCTAGGGTTCCTTATTATGATTTCTTTATATAAACCCTTAAAAGGGTAAGGTTATTTGGGGTTAAGGTAAACCCTATAAACCCCAGACCGGAACTGTGCTAAATAGCAACCCCGAAGAAGCCACAACAAGACAGGTAACCATGCCCAAACCCTAAACCCTGAATCCTACACCCTCGAGCCTAAACCCTAATCCCCAAATACTAAGCCTCAACCCTTGAACCCTACTCCTTTTCGCTGCAGCAGCTCCGGTCTCCGCCGGGGGGTAGTCCTTCAGGTGCAGAAGGTCCTTACATGGATCTATAAGGGTTTATATTCGGGCCTCTGTAGGGTTTCTATACGGGTTTCTTCAGTGTTTCTATACCACTTTCTGTAGGGTTTCTTTCAGGGTCCTATATGGGTACTTCTCCAAATTAGGGTCACTTTCAGGGTTCTTTTTATAAGGGTGCCGTATTATTTTTGGACCTAAGCAGCGGCCTCAATTTAGAGAGCTAGCCATGTACTACTATTATGGATTTAGGTCTCCTGAAACCAAGATTGTATTGGTCTGTTTGGGCCGAGTTCCATACTGGCGTTACATCATTATTTGTAAATCCTCTAAGCATATAAGGATCCTCAGTCATGAACCTCAGTGCTTGCCACGTGTCATTCCTTTACAGCTGTAAGATAGAGGTTTTGAGATTTAGAGGTCGAAAGAATCACGAATAGTATCCCCATACATTCCCCTTTGAATCTATATGCTATCATATACCATCAAGCCCTACATCCTTAAGGTCCCCTAGATGTTTCTGCCCCTAGGCTTATATCTCGACTCTCTTGCCGCACAGATGGCCCTAAACCCTAAACCCTAAACCCTAAACCCTGAACCCTAAACCCTAAACCCTAAACCCCTGAACCCTAAAGGTATACTTCCAGCAGAAACTACACTCATCAAGCAACCCTAAAGCCTACAGCCAAGACCCTGAGCCGGTTCCTACACGGTTTAGGGTTTAGGGTTGTCAGGGCTTTTTGCTTTGGAGCCCGAGTTCATGCTTTCTGAGCTTTGCAGCGTCTCTCAGACAAATCCTCACTTCGTTGTGGCTAAAGCAACATGAACAGCAGTGCAACTGGGTTGCCCATTGGCAATATTCAATATTCCTTTTCACCTCGGAACATGCAGAATTCATCTGCGATGGAGCCTTGTCTCGTCGGCGATTCGTGGATCTTGGATCCATATGAAAGTGCTGGTCAACATGTAGGTAGCATCATCACCTTCTGGTCAATGTCCTTTCTGATGCTGTTGCACTTGGGCGCGGTGGCCAAAGGCGTCAGGAAGGATGGGAAAACCCGCGCCGTTCCAGTGCTCCTCATGATATTTTTCTTCTTCAGCTTCGTCTCTGGAATTCTCCAAGCGGTATCCCACAGCTTCAGCACTGGCACTACAAAGACTCACCTTCTGCTGACGGCCCGGTTGTCGATGGGTTTCGCTGCGGGGACCTGTTTGTTTCTGGGAACCAGCATGGGGGAAGCCCTGATGCTTAGTCCTCCAATATCCAACCTTTAAACTTTCTTGGTTCCTATAACCTAGACCTTAGACCCTAAACCCTTATAAACCTTAAACCTTAAACCTACTGTAGTAGTAATCTGAAAGTTTAACCTCGTATCTCCCTGGTTTTTTGGGAAGTGAGGATGGCTGGCAACCGCAAAATGGCAGCCCTTCGGACCCTCAATTGGGTCTTCTTCGTTTTCGGGGCCGGTGCCTCAGTTTTTGCCGCTTAGGTGCTGGATGAGTATACTGTTGACCTTTTTGGTATTAGTACGACCATATATAGCACTGAAAGTTTACATTTTTGGGGCTTAGTATGACCATTTATAGAGCTGAAAGTTTACATTTTTTGGGCTTATGCACTCAGCAACTAAGGTCATGGCACTGGCTTCAGACGGCGATGACTTCGTGCAAGCTGCAGTGATGAGCGCAGCATTTCTGTGGGCAGACGCCTTTTGGATCGCCACTTCTCGCAAGATGCAGCGGGAAGGTTCCCTCCAAGAGACAAGTATCTCGGCTTGGGAGTACCATACTTTAATACTTTGTTTTGGGGGCCTGTTCCTTAGATGAACCATTATGAAATAAACGTCTATATCTTTTTCTCCATGGTTACTTCAAAGCCCAGGTATACTTCTGCCAAAGATTGGCGGTCCGATCCTCATGGCTCTGGCCTTCTGGATTCTTGCAATCTTGGAACCAACTTGTGGTGCTAAAGGCCATTCAGATTGCTACAAATCCTGCCCTGTCGGCGGCCCCGGAGTGGGCCCTGGATTACCACACGTCTTCTTCCTGGGATTTTTTGTATTCGGGACTTTTAGTTTGGTCTACGCACAAGAGAAGGCTCCAGACAAAACTTGTTTGGACTGAAGAGGCCCTAGTAGTAGACTAGTTAACCTTCAGTCTTGTTGTATTACGGTATGAACACTATATACGTAATCCCAAAGGTTCACATTTAGTTCTCTTAATATGCTGGACAATTGGGAAGCTGTCTCAAATGGTGCCGATCGTTGTAATCACTCTTGTGGGGGCGTCCAGCAATGTACCTGTCACGTATTTCAAGAGACGCCGCTTTTCAATACTCAGCCTGACCATGCATTGGCCCATTGATTGGGCATTATAGCAGCCCAAATAATGACCAATATCATTCCCTAGCGTTCCTCAGACTATATCTTTCCTATTCTTACTACTGCATGAGCCTATAACCTAAACCCTAAACCCCTAAACCCTAAACCCTAAACCCTAAACCCTAAACCCTAAACCCTAAACCCTAAACCCTAAACCCTAAACCCTACCTCTTCTGGGTCCGGCTGTGCTTGCGAATTCGAGCCTGCTTTGCCTCCGTTCACCAAATGGTGAATTGCAAGGCCGCCTGCAGCTTCCTATAGGAAATGTGTCCCAAACACAGGGCTTTAGGGCTTTAGGGCTTTAGGGCTTTAGGGTTTAGGGGTTTAGGGGTTTAGGGGTTTAGGGGTTTAGGGGTTTAGGGTTTAGGGTTTAGGGTTTAGGGAGGGAGTGGGAAGGACCTGTATGGTGGGTACTCAATCCTAGTAGTAGAGAGTAGATATCCTTTGAACCTTTTTGGGGTACCAGAATCCTTTGAATCCCAAGGCTTAACCTTTAGTTTCCTTAGCTACTGGACAAGTACAAAACTCCCCTAAACCCTAAACCCAGAAGCCTAAGCCCGAAAACCATAGCCTAAACCTTAAACTCATAACCTTAAACCCATAAACCTAAACCCTAAACCCAGAGCCCTAAACCCATAACCCTAAACCCTATAAACCCTAAACTCATTGAGCTGACGAAGGCCCGAGACTTGGAGAGTTTGGCCGTGGCCTTCGCCACGGCCCAGATCCGTGCCGATGCTCGGTCTTCTAGTCGTGACCTTCAGGGTTTAGAGTTTATAGGGTTTGGGGTCTGGGGTTTAGGGTTTAAGGTTTTGGGGTTTTGGGTTAAGGGTCTCGGGTTGAGTGAGTGGTCTTACAGATACCGTAAAGGTTTAAGAGTTTCCACAGGTTCATATTTGTTTTGGTATAAGATTTCAACAGTTTCTTAGAAGGTTTGCATGAGGAGTCTAGTCGAGTTGTATAAGGGCTCTGCCATGATTTCTAGGAGTGTTCTACCAGAACCTAAACCCGCAAACCCCTCAACCCCTAAACCCTAGGCCCTGAACCCTAAACCCTAGCTCCTAAACCCCCTAAACCCTAAACCTGAAACCCAAGCCGAATCTAGGACAGCCTCTTCGAGGCGATTGTGAGGCCGGGGCCTGTTCGTAGGGGTTGAGGTTTGTTGTTTTTGTTTAGGGTTTAGGGTTTAGGGGTTTAGGGTTCAGGGGTTTAGGGGTTTAGGGGTCTAGGGGTTCAGGGTTTAAGGGTTTAGGGTTTAGGGTTTAGGGTTTAGAGGTTTAGGGCTTGAGGTTCGGGTTAGTACTTGAGATAGAGGTTTAGGCTTAGGGTTGAGAGGTTCAGGGTCAGTATGCGACATAGATGAAGCCAGGAATGGGTTTCAGGGTTTCGGGGTTAGGGTTAGTGTTTGAGATACATGAGGTAGGGATTTGGGATTTGGGGTTTCGGGTTCCTCAACCTTAAAGTTATTAGTAGGGTAGGTAATCTTTAACATTCTCGGGGTTCTATTATCCCTTCAAGAGTCCAGAGCATAAATTGCATGTCCCCCTGTATGCTGGACAAGAAAGTAAGGGTTCACCGTCCAGGGTTGGATTTAAAAGTTTAGCCGTACGGCTCTTAGGGCCCATATTTAAAGGCTTTTGTTGGGCCCAAAGACAACGCTGTATGAGGCTTTCGGGCTATTTCGAGCCTTCGGGTAGGGTGTAAGGTTTGGGGCTTTGGGTGTAGGGTTAGGTTTCGAGCTTTTGACATAGGGGTGAGTGGCTGCTTTGTTTTTTGAGGGGGAGGGGGGGGGTGCTGACGATGGGGATACGGCTCAGGGTTGAGGGTTTGGGGCTCAGGGTTTAGGGGCTTAGGGTGATATCACATGACGAAAATCCCTACTGGGTGTAAGCTCCAAGTCCGTGGGATTGAGAGTTCAGGCGCCTTGGATGTGAGGTTTTGGGATGCTGTTGAGGTTCAGGGTGTGGGATGTAGGGTTTGAGTGCGCAGGCTTTCAGGGCTTGAGGTTTGGAGCTCTGGCTTTAAGAGTCTTTGGTTTATGCTTACGGCGTTGAGGTCTGTCGGCATACTTGAAGGCCGGTGTGCCTTAGTGAGAACATGTGTCTTTCAAGCAGGATGCTTCTTAGGCTAACCGGGCGAACCCTACTTACGAGTTGGGGTACACGCAGCCAAATTATGAACTGCTTCCCAAAGGTGTGCCGGAGCCTTCAAGTGAGGGGCTTTGGAGTTTCAGGGTTTAGGCTTTACCTTAAGAACCCAAAACCCACTTTTTTGTAGGTTCTTATTATAAACCCTAATATGGGATTTTTTGGGACCCAACAAAAAAAGGTAGGATTTGGGTTCTTAAGGTAGGGCTTTCATATGGTGTAGCGTTTGGGGTTGGGGCTTGGAGGGCATCCCGGATTTATTCTACGATGATATGCACCCGAACGGCGGATCCGCACCAGAGACTCTAAAGCCAAAGCTTTGCAACCTAACCCCGAAGCTTGACCCTAAATCCATGGACTCTTGCGCCGCGTACGCCCTAAACTCCTAGCCCTCAACCCTAATAACTCTGTACGAACTTTATGTTAAGAAAACTACGTTGCAAATTTCCATGACCTGGAAAATTTCTTAGCAGAACTGGTTGCAACAGACATATACTTCCCTCCCGAGAGTCGGGTGAATGCACTCCTCATCGGACCCTGCCCTTGCCCTGCCCTGCCCTGCCCTGCCCTGCCCTGCCCTGCCCTGCCCTGCCCTGCCCTGCCCTGTTCTGCCCTGCGACCTGAAGTACAGGAATCCCGTTCCAAAGTATGGAACCCTCACAAGAAGCCTATTCTACCAGACCCACCTTCCAATAAACCCTTAAAGCCAAACCCCTAAGCCTTAAACCCTAGACCCCTACCCCACAAACCCCAAGCCCTACCTGAACCTATCGCCTCCCTTTGCTGAAGGCGAAGCCGGACGAGTCTTGACTGATACAGAGGCCCCCAGGCTTTAGGGCTAAGGGCCTATGTATTTCGACGTTGAGATCTTCAGACTTCTGTACATTAGGTCCCTAATGTAGAGAACTACCCACATACTCCCCTAAACCCTAAACCCTGACCCCTATAAACACTAATCCCCCGAAGCCCCAAAATCGAGCCCTAAATCCTGATTTGTTGCCCCTGGTCCTCAAGCCCACGAGCAAATCCCGAGGGCTCATAGGGTGTGAAGCTCTGCTTTACGGCTTCGGAGTGCAGGGTGTCTCGCGTTTAATGGTGTGTGATCAGGTTCCTATACTAGGTTTGGCCCAAAACTATAGTACGGATCCTTGTTCACTTGCTGCACTCTGTCTGTTGCATGTGGTGTTCGACGGAACCGTAAACCTTATGAACCCTTAGCCCTAAACCGGAAACCCCCAGCCCTAAACCTTCTCAAACCCTATAAACCTCAAACTGAAACCCTAAACCTTAAACTCTGAACTTGAAGCCGTCCACCTTGAATCCTAGGCCTTATCCTAGGCCTAAACCCCAAACCCCAAACCCCAAACCCTAAACCCTAAACCTTAAACCCTAAACCCTAAACCCTAAACCCTAAACCCTAAACCCTAAACCCTAAACCCTAAACCTTATCCTAGGCCTAAACCCGGCCGAGGATGCTGGCAGATTTCAATTCTTTGGACCTGGCAAACCTGGCTTTGGCACTCCGGACGCCCGGGCTCCAAACTCCTCGGGGCCAAGAGAGGGTGTAGGGTTTATCCTATACAGGCTTCTGCTGTTGTTTTGCTGGAGGGTTTAGAGTTTTAGGGTTTCTGGGTTGTCTTTTGGGATCTTTTTTTTTAATTCCCCTTACTATTTGGTAGAGAACCGCAATAGTAAATAATTTTCAAAGGGCTGAAAGGACAACTTAGTAAACCTTGACGCTACACCCTAAACCGTTTTGCGTTTGCAGTGTCTGTGAGGTGTTTAAAGGGTGGTATAGGCTTTGTGGGTGTCATGGGTTCCCACATCTTCCCAAACCTCTTAATGACGGAAGACACCTTACATCATGTCTGGGATCCTACAATCATTTTCGTCGTATTCTAAACGCATAGGACAGCCTACCCTTCACCTGTCCATAGCTCTACCTCTGACCCTGTCACGCCCCGCCACAGACCCTGTCAGAGGCCCTGCCTACCCCTGCCGCACGGCCTGTTCACAGACCCCTGTCGACAGGGTTTGTCCGCCCCTGTCCTAGCCCCTATCCGAGGCCGTCCGCCCCTGTCTGGCCCTGCTGTAGGGCCCCTGTCATAGGTTCTGTCCGTAGTTTGTGTTTGGCCTTTCATAGGCCCTGTCCGTGGTAGGTCCGGTCCTGTCCACCGCTGTCGCCGGCCCTGCCCCCCCCCCCACCCCCCGCCGTAGGATTATGATTATACTTGAATCGATTGGCTACGAATGCATTTGCTAGGTCTTGCTCTACTTTTATAGACCTCAGTCGAAGCCTTGAAACCATAAACCTTGAACACCTAAACCCTAGACCCTAAATCCTAAACCTTTAAACCCCAAAACCCTAAACTCCTCCTCTGTTTTAAATTGGTGGTTCTAGTTTTGAAGCCTTGCTGGCATCCGCAAGGGGGCTTGTCGACTATTTGGGGGTTGTTATATGTTGTTCTTGGGTTTAGGCTTTTGGGGGACCCAATGTCCATTGCTGTTTGCTCTGGAACCTTCGAGAAGAGTTGTCGAAATTCAGGGTTAGTGTTAGGGCCTGTTAGGGTTATGATGCAGTTAGCCAAGAAGCTGGCGAAGGAGCGGCTATCCTCCCACAGCTTTCGCAGTTCTAGTATGCACGTAGGCCAAACCCGATATTCCCTGGCTTTCCGTCAGGTTTGCGCAGGTTTCCGATGTGTCCATTTTGTGGGTTGTTGTAAGCCGCTGTGCAGGAAGGCGTCCTGGGAAGACCCGGACACTGCGACGGCTGAGCCCTGTTATGCCGTAAAGCCCTATAGGATTTAAACCGAAGCCCTAAACCGGGTCTATTAAGTTTTTGCATTTAGGGTTTATTGTTCAGGGAAGGGTTTATGTTTCGGCCCTGTATCCCCCAACTTCGAATGAGGATTTCGGGCTTAGTTTATGCCTTATAACGCCAACCTGTTTAAGGACGTATATAAAGAAAACATAGTAAGGAACCGTAAAGGTAGGTTCCTTAGGCTCCAGGAGGTGAGGTTCTTTTGGCTACCTTCCCTTTTTCGAGGCGGCTTGCAGAGTGTGGGCTTCTTGGGATAAACCCTAAACCGAGCACTTCTTTGGTGTGACTTAGACGTGGTGCTTCATGGGATATTATAGGGGCCTTGATAATTAGACTAAGGTTTTGGGGTATTCTCGAATATAGACATGTAAGGAGCCCCGAAATAGCGTTGGCACTTATTTAGACCTTAACCCAAACCCTAAACCCAAAACCCTAGTGCGGTTTACGATCCTTGGGCTCTTTGCCTTGGTGTTGAGTTCGCATTTGTCTCGAGTGATGGTCTCATCTTTGGGGTTTGGGGTGTACTTGGACACTGTAAACCCTACCTGTTTAGAGCTCCTTAAAATAAATCGTATGATTTCCTTATAAACAGTCCTAAAAAACAGTTGGGCTACTTGGGGTTTAGGGTTTCACGCTTTAGGCTTTTAGGACACATAGACCCCAACAGCTCCACTCTGTAGCTCCTGTTGACGGGTTCTTAAGCCCGCATGCGTCAAGGCTTCCAAACGCAAAGGCTTTAGGGCTGTAAGGCTGCGTAGGGCTTTAGGGTTTTATTGAAGTGTTCGGGTTCAGGAGTTTACTGTAGGGTGTAGGATGGTCTAAGGGCTTATGCTTGGGGTCTAGGGTTTACGGTATGAGGTTTGATAGTTCCAGGTAATCTTGGGCAGCTTATGCTTCTCATGGTATCTTGTGCTGGAGCTCAAACATGAGAGGTGCTAAGCTTCGGCCCAGGGACGGTGAGTCTGAGCCCCATATTACCAGATGTCGGGTTGAGAATAGTCGAGACTTGGCTGACGCCAAAACGTCCCAAAGCCCAAAAGCTAAACCTTAAACCTTAAACCCTTAACCCAAAGCCCAAAAGCTAAAACCCAAATCCTAAAACCACGAAGCGCCTTGAAAAAACATGACACCCTCAAGGCCTGATTCTTTTCTTTCTTAAGGCTCCATGTAGCCACAAAGAATATGGTTAGGCCTCTAAGAGGTTCCTACATTATAGAACTTTAAGGCCCAAGTATATACTACGTGGGCACATGGAGTCTTACTTAAGGGCCCAAGAAACCCAGCAAGTGCGGATTTAATTGGGGGTCTGAGTACCCTAAGTAGGGTGATCCGAATTACAACTTGACTTATAACCTTGCTTACGAAGTTCCATGAGCAGGGCTTCGCGTCTCAGGACCTCCTGTCCGACATCGCCCGCCATGCGATCCCACAGTTGCGTGCCGGAAATGCGCCGCGCCGGCCTCAGATTTCGGCAACAAGAGATACAGTGATAAAAGGAACATGAAAGAATGATACGGGCTCCTATTCGGGATTCATATTAGGATTTGAACTTTTGGGGTTGAAATATTTGTGCTTATCAGGGTACGATAATATTTGTGCTTATCAGGGTACGATAGGGCCGTAGAGGGTTTGCGGGGTTTAGGATTATGGAGATGTAGAGTTTCGGGAAAGGTATAGGTGGCACTTCGGGGTCGTTTTATGTGTGGTGATGAATACATTGAGGGCCTGAAGCTACCAGTTTAAGGAGCTGCATGTGGGGCGTGCTTTGGCAGGGTCGAAACGGGTGTTGTTCATGATGTGTTCATGTGTGCTTTACACACAACATGAGATCCAGACCTTCATCATAATGGCGGCCTAATACTGATCGATGTTGCCGTGACGTTTGCCGTTTGGCGGATATGGTAGACAAACACGACCAACAGGAGCATGGTTCAGAATAAGATCCGCAGCACAGCACGGCGCAGCACAACACAGCAGCACAGCACAGCATGTCCGAACCGCAGCAACAAAAGCTCAAAAAACAACGAAACTCTATACGGCTAAACTTGTGGTCTAGCATTTCACGGCTGTCAATTTGCTGGGTTTTGCGCGAAAGTGTAGACTGTGTAGAGTGTAGACGTGAGGTTCTGAGTTGTGTGGTTTGAGAGTGTCGACAGGCCTCCTGAGTTTTCAATCAGCAGGGTTCATGTGAGTAGTTCCCTGAACTAGGGTCCCCTTTGAGGTCCCCAATATAGTACGGCACCCTTTTAAAAGGGACCTTAAAAGGGACCCTAATTTTGAAAACTACCCATGTGGGAGCCCCAAGGATGAGCATCGGAATTCTTTTCCTAAATCCGAAAGCACTAAGCCGTAGCACCCCAGCCCAGACCCTATAACCATAAGACTCAAAACCATAAGACGTGTCCCAGATGCCTGAGCCTTAAATGTCGTACTTGTCGTAGCTTCTCAGCCTTTAAAGAACCCACGGGTTTACCTACCCATGGTCTACTGTGTATTTCCTTTGTGGAGCCAAAAAGGATCCTCAATAAAACATTGGTACAAAAGGATTACCTGAGGGTCCATGTACCCAAATAGTATGTATTGTGGCCCCAAAGTACCTTTTGGCGGACTACTTGGAGGCCAAAGTATTTGCTATGTGGGTACATGGACCCTTCTAGGGTTACAGTGGAGACGATGAGTGTGGTGTCGCGTTTCCAACTGCATTGCTTGGAGGATCATGGGACTTAGAAAAAAGGTTATAAGTCCCCTAATTGGGGTTATAAGTATAGTTACCTTAATTATAACCCTACTTACTAAGTCCCATGATCCTTTAAGCGGAGGTCCCAGGCGCTGGTGGACTTTGCCTGGTCCTTCCGTGCACTCCCGTTGGCCAACTTGCAGGAGAGGTCTTCGGAATCGATAAGCATGGGCTCTTAAGAACAACATATTTAGGAGTCAAGGAACAGGGCTAGTTTACTACTAACTAGTGACGAGTATCCGATAGTTATAACATGGTGAAACAGTTCACCCTACATGCCTACGTAGGAATAGGGAACCTGTATAAAGCCCCCTGAAAACGGGTTTAGGCTTTTATTATCTTTGTTGGTCAGGCAAGGGTTTGGAAAGATAATCTGAATAAGCTAGGATATGACCCTGAACCCTAAACCCTAAACGTTTCAGCCCAAACCCCAAACCCTTATCCCCAAAACCAAACCCTAAACCCCACACCCCAACACCCAACACCCTAAACCCTAAACCCTAAACCCAACACCCAACACCCTGAACCCCACACCCTAAACCCTAAGCTGTGAAGGACTTCTGGACCGCCTGGTCGAGCGAGGCTTGAGCAGACCTGCTGCGCTTCTCTCGGGTTTTTTTGGGGCTCCTTTAAAGGGAACCATAAGGGTCTAGGGTTTAGGGTTTTTTGGGGCTCCTTTTAAGGGAACCATAGGGGTTTAGGGTTTAGGGTTTGGGGTAGGGGTTCCTTTAATGAGCCTATTGGGGTTCTATATGGGTTTAGGGGTTTTTAAGTTTTGGGTGTAGTGAGTTCGTGTTTAGGGTTCAGGGTTTGGGATTTAGGGGTTCAGGGTTCACGGGTTTAGGGTGTAGGGGTGTAGGGTAGGAGCTCTTAAGCTGAAAAGAACCTCCACCAGAACCCTACCCAACACCCCGTATGCTGCGCCTAAATCAAAAGAGCCTTCGAAGAATCGCGAACCCCTAAACCCTAAACCCTAAACCCTAAAGCCCTAAACCCTAAAGCCTAAACCCTAAACCCTAAACCCAACTGAACCACTATTGCTGGCAGGTTTTGAGGAAGATGTCTCGGCATGACCTCCGCCACCTTGTGGCTCTGGAGGTTCTTCGGTTCATCCAAGGTGAAAAAAGTGAGGGTCGGAGCTTACCAGGACCCCCAAGGGCCCTTTAATGGAGCCCTTATGGCCTTTAATAGTGGGTATTTAGGGTATATTAGAGGGTAGTTGGGGGGGGTCTAGGTAGGGCTTAGGGTTTTGGGTTTTGGGTCCGGAGCTTAAGAATGCTTCAGCTGAAATTTGCTTAGCTAGAAAGGGTTGTCGAACGTTCGATCTCTGGCATGTATCGATTCAACGGAGAGAGTGCACGCGCCAAGCTTCGACCACGCAGTGTCTGGGTTCAATATCGGGGTCGGAATGCTTGGTGAGCTTTTTAAGAACATCTCATGCAGCTCCTGTAGAATTGTTGTATTTAACTTATATGATAAAGATATTCGCGGATACGACTCCTATTTTAAAGGTCCCAAAATGGAAAAACTAGAGATCCTTGCCGATGAAAGCTTTTGATAGGGTTTATACTGGGATTTGGTTGTGAGGGCTTAGGATTCTGCAACTAGATCCCTCATCCGTACGGGCTCTCAGACAGAATCTAGACGCTCAGCAGCACGGTTATGAATGATCCCTAAACCCTAAACCTGAACCCTAAACACGAACTCACTACACCCAAAACCTAAAAGCCCCAAAACCCATATAGAACCCCAATAGGCTGATTGAAGGAACCCCTACCCTAAACCCTAAACCCTAAACCTGATTCTGCAACGATTCCAGGCCCTGTCCCCGGCTCCCACACGTGCCGCCGTGGGGCAGCAGCTTGGGCGTGCTGAGGGCTCAGAAGACCGAGAGTTTGGCTACCTGAGGCCGTGTTGGAGGATGCTTTTTTTTTGTACCCCCTGAACCCTAAACCCTAAATCCTAAACCCTACACCCTAAACCCTGGAGGATGAAGTTGGTAGTCGTGTTGTGTTTTTTTTTGGTTTGTGGGGCGGCTTCATTCATGAAGGTTTGAGACGAATCCCCTAGAAAACCCTTAGAACCCCGAAGCTCTAGAAGTTCTACCTGCAACTCTCTTTACCTACAGTTTAGCGGCCATTCCTCCGGGGTTTAGGGTTTAGGGTTTAGGGTTTAGGGGTTTAGGGTTTAGAGTTTAGGGGTTTAGGGTTTAGAGTTTAGGGTTTAGGGTTTCCAATTAGTAGGTAGAACCCATAAAACTGTAGGAAATTCGAGTCCCAGGTAACCCATGCTATGGATTCCCCGCCCCATGACTAAGTGCCTGTGTCGTGGCCTGAGGGGGCTGGTTCCGAGTCTTGGGTTGAGGGTTTTAGGGTGAAGGGGTGTAGGGTTAAGGGGTTTAGGGTTTAGGGTTTAGGGGTTTGGGGTGTGTGGTTTAGGGTTTAGGGGTCTAGGGTTTAGGGGTTTAGGGTTTAGGGGATCTTCCAAGAAAACGAGGGTATGGCTGACCCAGGAGCT